GGAGGGGATGAAGGGAGGGCAAGAGAAGGGGGAAAAAAATAAGAACCAAGAGACTCATGTAATGCTACAAGATCCCAGTGATGAATGTGACTGTATTTTATACCTAAAATGTACCAATAAAGTTAATGGGGAAAAAAAAGTAATGGCTTATCTTTCATTGGGAATCCTAGAATTTCAGGGCTAAGAGGCATAACTGTAAATAATTATTCTTAACCACTCCAACATTTTAGCAGGTCATCATACTGTCAAAATTGGCAGATGGGTCAGCCTGAGTAAGCTGATGGCTCTGTGAGTCAACAGTGATAGCACTGGACTTTTTGGAAGCCTGGACCAAAAGGTGCAAAATGGCAGTGAGATCCTGGTCCACACAAATACTATCTTGTCAGAGAAAAATTTACAGCCTTATTAAAATACTGATCTGCTTTCTGTACAAACGTGTTTTAGCTGTGCTTCTAGACAGAATCACAGATGTGCATAAAACTATTTTTCATATTGGACACATTTTAGTCTTTGCTGTAGCTTTGAAGACGTGCTTTGATTTTCTGAATACTTGGCAAGAAAAAGCTTGGCAATTATATCTCTAGGTGCCCAGTAACAACTCACATGTTTTATTAATTATTGTTCAGTAGAAAAAAAATAATGCCAGTTACTTTAACAAGTCTCTATTTTCTGCCATTAAATATTGGTCATGTGGAACTGATATAGAGTAAAATATCACACTTTGTGTCACAGAGTATAGAGTCTTAAAAAAATGATTATTTTAAATCAGTTGCCTCCTCATGAAGAATAATCACTCAGAATTACTCATTTTGTTGCTCCCAAGATAATAACACATGAGAGTCAATTAAATTTCCCAGGCAGCGTAGGTAGAGATCATTTTCATTGACTTTTATTATTGTAGCCCCAGGTATTTTCAAAAGATTGTCATTTATTCTGTACAACTATGCATAATGTATCACTATAGTGATCTATAAAGTTGAGATAATGTGACCCCATGTGTCTGGGCCCTAGGTGATCAAGCCCTCTCCATGAGAAGACTCATTTTGCTGTTAAAAATTCAGTCATTTCAAAAATGCCTGCAAAAATTGGCAATGAAATTTCCATTTATGATGGTACTTCCTAACCTGGAAGCTTTGTGAAGGTAGTTTTGTAGTGAGTCCTGACATCACTTTGAAAGTTTTTAATAGCTGTACTCATTATTATAGGAATGTACCCAATTGGGGTAGGAATCTTAATCAACTGTAAGGAACTAGGAAAATACAACAGCTTAAAAGATCATTTTGGTGGGCTGGGGATTTAGCTCTGTGGTTCTGCCACCTGCCTTGCAAGTGCAAGGTCCTGAGTTCAATCCCTGGTACCAAAAATGGTAAATAAAAGATTTTGGTACTCTATTGCACAGTTTATCGCCAGTATACTGGTTTCCAGTCAACTAGGTGACAAAGAAAATGAGGCTGGGCCTCATTTTTCAATATAATCATTTTTAATTATAAGCTCAGCCTCTAAGAGCTTGTATCAGGGTACAGTCTAAGTGACTGAACCTGTATTAGCACCCTGGGGCGGCTGTAACATAATACCACAGACCTTTCAAACTGGACACTCAGAAGGAGATTTTTGTGAATATTGCTGATTTTGACAATTCTATCTACATTGTTTTTCTTTTGTTTCCTGGGAAAGAAAGAAGTAGCCTAGGAAAACATGCCTGAAGGTTGCCTACCATGATTGGAATGTGGAGACAGTTTACAACCACCTCATTCATAATCAAACCCATATTCTTCTGGACAGTTCAGATTCTCTTCTAATACAACAAAGTTTCGACATTGACATAGAACTCATTTGGCTTTAAGACCTGCCTCAGCAATATTGTAAAGTTCTTTAGCCTAGGCACCTAATCATGTAATTTCTTACCTTTGGGAAGAAAAAAATGCTAATACTGATGGTGTTTAGGCTGACAACTTAATGTTCCACTTACATTTTAAGCCACTGCAAGTAGCTGCCAAGAAAATTTACCAAGCTTTGTGCCACCTCACCTCATCTTGATTTCAAAACCATTTCCAATTTTAAAGTAGAAAATTGATTCAAAGAAAGAACAATAAGATAACGATCAACTCATTAGTGCTTTGTCTGCAGCAGGTACTCAATAAATAATAAGTAAGTCAAAAAGGACTGTCATATACCTACCATAACCCCAAGTAAATTTACTTCCTTCATGGAACAAAAAGTATGTATTCAGGTGACTCTAGATAATCTTTTTAATTAATTGGCTTATATAGATCAGCCTTGAAAGTCATTTAAAGATGCCATCACACCTTATTTTAACAGCACTTAAACCATCAAGCAACAAGTTCTTTGAAAGATAAAACATGACAGCAAAGCTTTTCAGCTACCTGCCAGCCCAGGAAAATCACTGAAGGGCTCTTTTACATTTTTAAATATTGCAAGTGAATGAAGTACCTTGTTACTTCACAGTGTTCTCATTAAGGTGATGTGAATATTGTGAAGACATCCTCTAGCTGTCACACTGAGAACACTGGTCACACTCCCTGCAACTGGTTCCACCCATTGAATGAGCTTGGCATTCCCTGCCCTGGCCTCCACCTCCAATTTACAATCCATTCATTTGACTAGCTGAGCCTCTCTTCTCTTGGCATTTTTGATGTAAGTTAGCAGCAAGATAACTTTTTCTAGCTCTGAGTACTTCAGTTGCCTCTTGAGAACTGTAGCTTCTATCCTTTCCCTTTTCTCTCTGAGTCTTGGCTCAGGTGTGCTGGATGATAACCTGAGGACAGTCTCTCTGTAAAGAAACATATGTGAATAGATAGAAGCAGCAGGACAGAGAATGAGGGAAGGGGCAGCTGAGGCTCAGTTTTCATTATGTCACACTGGACTTGGAGTCGTAAGAATATAGGTTCACACACCAAGTTCAAATTCTGGCTCTGCACTGGTCACTGGAATGACATTGGCAAATTTTTAACCCTCTTGAGTCTCAAGTTCCCCACTTATAAAAGGGAGATAATAATAGAATCTACCATATAGATTAACCAAGATTGTGTGCATGAAACGCACAGCATAGTGCCTCGCTCCTGGTAAGTAAATGTCAGGGCTTGTATTATCAGTGGTTGTAGCTACTCACTCAGTGGTAGCTATCAGTAGAGTACTATTATTTGAGGATATCTACCTATAATTTTACACTTTAAATTTACCATTTATTTAATAGCTTTTATCTCCTAAAAAAAGAACATTTTTCTCAACATTTGGTAATTTTAGAAATGTCAGTCTTGGCTGTCCTTTTTCCATTCACATGATGAAACACGGGGACACTTCTGTCTTACTTCTTTATTCCTGTCATATATGATTTTAGTTTTTGGAATTGTCTGATTTTCATATTAACTCAATTTACTTTTCATCATTTCTATTATTTCAAATCCAGGATCCTCATAGAAGATCTTCAGAAAGCACTGGAAAATGGAAGCAGCCTGCAAACCCAGAGAAATAGAAGATCCCTCCCTGAATATAATTACGAAGTTTATCACTCCTTAGAAGAAGTGTGTAATCAAAGGAGCTTTTCTATGTTTTTTTCACTAGTTCATCTTTGTTGTTTAGCTATCAGTATTGGGAAAGAAACATAAAGGCAGACAGTGGCTGTGGGAAGAAGACATATAACTCTTGCATGGCTTAGGCAGCTCAGTTCACACATCTCTTCCATTGAACCTTTTACTGCTACATAAGAAGTAGCAAAGCAATCTGAATTTCACCTGATTTGCCCCACCCAGCCCCACAAGGACATAGGAAATGCAATGGAATAATGAGGTAATGTTAAATTTATAACTGTAAACATTTTAACTGACAAGGCACAGAAAGTAGAGCTGGCCTGAGTGTCCGGGCAATGCTTTGGTTGAGGAACACAGTAGATTTTGATACTTACCCTGCACCTTGGCAAAGCTCCGACTTCCCAGAGGCCAAGCTTCATTAGTGGCACCTACAGACCTCTGAACATGCTGTTATTTGTTCTATCTAGAAAACTCACAGCAACCTCATCCTCACCACCACATCCTTCACTGTGCACCTGACAACAGCTTGCTAGTCTTCAAATATCAACTTAAGCAAGAAGGAAGATATTTCTATTCTCCCAGGCTGGGCAAACCCCTCTGCCCATCAACCCCTAATGTATCACCTAACTCCACACCACACAGAGATGATGCCTTTCACAGTTCTTAGTTATGTAATTGTATGATTATTCAACTAATGACCTTCTGTCCTAATAAGTTGCATGTTCCATGAGGGCAAACTATTTCTTCCTTGTTTATCACTGTATCCCAAGTGTCAGGCAAATAGTCCTCCAAATAGATAAGATAGACATTTTGTTGACAAAATAAACAAATCTGTATGTTTTTCATATTTCCCCTAATTTAAACAAGAGAATATTGTACCAGACACAAAATTAATGAGATCTTGTTATACTATTTAAAGTATTTTTGGTTCTTTTGGTGTCAACTCTCCTTTCAAAGTTGTTTTCACATATTTTATGTCTCAATATACTTAGAAACTTTAAATTAGAAGCAAGAAACAATTTTAGATACACTGGCACACAGAAGTACTATTAACATCCCTAGAAAAAACGTCCAATTTAAAAATATAATAGATATAGGTATGCATATATATGTATGTTCACATGCATGTATGTACCCTGCTCATTAGATTAAATAAGAACAGAACAAAAAGAAAATACAGGTACTTTCCAAAACTTTTTTTTCAGCACAGATCCTTTCACCTCTTAGAACAGTAGGACACTTTTGTGTTACTTCTTTATTCTTTACAAGGCTTTTAAGTCAAAAATGTCACCTTTCTTTCTAAGCACTTTATTCATCCGTCCCAAATACACCTTCTCCTGATGACAGATAAGTGTGTGCAAATGGATCAATGCAAATGTATCACTATCGCTGGAGTATACCCTCCAACTTGGGCTCAAAATAACCTTTAATTAAAAAAGATAATGCCTTTTCTTAGCATGTTTTGTTCACTGGCAAATTATAATACGTGGAATGTTCATACTTTCACATAGTTTAGATAGTTTTTTTGAAGGTTATTTTTCTTTTCCTCTTAACTACTTGTGGGAAAAATGGAAATAAATTTTCATTTTCAAAAAGAAACCAGACACATCAATTTTCTATAAAAAATTGTCATCAAGACATTAATGACATGTGTTAGAGGTTATGTTGTAAAGGGAGAAAATATAAAGATATAAACTACTATCTGTAAAGGTGGAAAATAAAGTGTAATTTTATGTCACAAAGAAAAAAAATAGAAAAAATTATTCCATTTTGTACTTTGTATATGCTCTTTGAAATCTGAGACTACTGTTATCCTGTTACCTTTTGTTTTCTAAAAATTCTATTATTGTAAGAGAGTACAACATGGTTTTTATTTATCTGCTTTTAGATTCAGAGTTGGATGCATCATCTCAATAAAACTCATTCAAGCCTCATTCACATGTTCTCCATTGGAAGATCATATGAAGGAAGATCTCTCTTTATTTTAAAGGTAAAAAGAACTTGTTAACTAAATATAAAATGTTTACCAGCATTTATCTTTTTCAACTTTGACTTACAGGGAGGAAACAAAATGATCTTTAATAGAGTCTCATGTAACATAGGATAATTTAAGGGGGAAAAAATCCCTCCAGTTTTTAAGCCATATTTTATTTTTGTCACTAAGTATTCCAGAGAATATTGTCTCTTATATATCCATATAGTTACTGACGCAAATCATTTGTAAGTTCGTACTACTTAAGAAGACCCAATGCAAAATTATACAAATGCTTAAGAAGGCATGCATTATCCCCATCCCTTAATACTGCATTCTCTTCTAGTACTGACCTATAGCTTTCCTTATGTTCTTAGCCAAACATGTAAGAATATTTTCCTAATTCATCATCTCTGTTTCCCTACTTTCTGTTCAGAATTTGACTCTGACTTTTGTGCCCACAATTTCTTCAAAACTTCCCTTGTCAAGGTCAGTGCTGACTCCTAGTTTATTATCCTCCTATCACTCTGACCATTTCTTCAAGTCTCATTCTCTGGCTCCTCTCTCTGTGTCCTTCCTCTAGGTTCTGGTTATCTTCAGGACTCTATCCTCTGCTCTACTTTTCCTCCACAAACTCTGTCTAACCTCTGTTCCATATTATCAATAGTCACCCCCAGAACTTTATATGCAGTGGAGTCCCTTCCTTGGAACTTTAAATTCATACAGCATTGCCTACTTGACATTCTCACCTGGATATTCATAAAAGCACCCCAGGCTCAGAGTGGCACAATGAATAGGAGTCAAATCTCTTCTCTTTTATTTTAATCACTGACTTAAATTTACCACCCAAAGCTGACAATTCTTTGGAATCAGCCCCCCACACACACACACACACACACCTCTTCCCTCTTTCTTGCTGCTATTGCCTCAACTTCTCTCTCCCTGCTCTTCCTGGATTATGGCAACAATGGCCTCAGTACTGAACTTCTATTTGAGTCCCCAACTTTGAAGAAGGAACAGCATGAGAAGCTGAACACAGAGCCGAGAACACATGAAGCCCCAGCATACTACATAGAAAAGACAAAACTACATCCTAAATTTCATCTGAAGATTCTATGTGCAGGTGTCCATCCTTGACCATATTATCTCCTAACCTATCCTCCATTCTGCTGTCTGTGTGAGCTCTCTAACACAAGCATGCAGAAACACACACACACACACACACACACACACACACACAAGCTGAGTCTCCATGTGTCTTCTGCTCTTTGTTCAGCTTCTTGTGATGCTTCTTCCCTAAACTCCAGAAGCAGTTCCTCAAATATGGTATCTTCAGATTCACTTTCAAGATTAAGATACCTTCCTCCAATTTGTCTACCAGGCAAGCTTCCAGCCTTGCTCAAGTACTCAAGCACTCCTCTTATGAGAAACTTTCTTTTATTCCCCAAGAAAATTTGACATTACATCCCCATCTTCCTGAGGTAATTTATGGATATTCACATCATAAATGTTGACTGAATGTTTACCTGTCTGCCCTCCTTACTAGGTTGTAAATTCTTTGTCTTTTCATCTTTGAATCTCCAGGGCTGAGCCAATGTCTCACATTTTAAAAGATTTCTAGAAGTATTAGTTGAGTGAATTAATAAAGGAATGAAAACTAGATTCTCTATTAAGATAATGCCAAGAGCTACCTATTGATTACTAGATTAGAAGCCAGGTTAGAAGTAATAATGACGTAGTAGGACTTTTTAAATCTGCCACTTAATTCTACGGATCAAGTTATTTTGTTTCCATTTTGTGGCTTAATTAAGTTTGGCTTTATCCACCAATAAAATATAGCTATTTCTTAAAGGAACATTCTTTGGAGACATTTCTGATTCTTTGGGCGGAAAGAGACAGGCAGATAGAAACACAGAGACAGTACAGAAATGAAGAAAGGAAGGGGAAATTTGGCTTTTTATTTAGTCATAGACTGTATCACAATGGAAAAGCAAGCCTATTTTAGGGATTGCCCTTTTCCTTGTGCATTTCCTAGCTCTTTGATTGTAACTAGAGGAATACGTTTATTTTTCCTGCATAAACAAGTCTGGGCTTCCAAAAGAGATATTTCTTATCTTTTTACTGTGTTACTTAATGAACCAAACTATAGCGAAGAATTATACTGAAACCTTATTAAATTATGCTGGTCACCAAACCCAAAAATGAAAGCCTGTGATGGTTATTATGAATACTCTTCTTTTCAGCTGGGCAGGAAATCACGAGCTTACAAAAGAGCTGTCTGGATAGACTGTGGTGTTCACGCAAGAGAATGGATTGGCCCTGCCTTTTGTCAGTGGTTTGTAAAAGAAGTAAGTTAAACCCTTTGTTCAGTGTCCATTTCAGCTAACCAGTCCTTCCATTTGTTTTTATTCTGCCCAAGGAACAAAGTGAGAATTTGAAGCCAGTAATACCTAATGGAATGATAATAACACCTTGATAGTGTTGGATGCTTTCATTTTTATGAAGACTTCCAAAATCCTGGCTCAGTTTATTTTCACTTCTGCCCTTGAAAGTAGGATTTGTCAGCCCTGATTAAAGAGGAAGAAGATGAGGTTCAGAGCCTTTATGAATCTGTAACAAATTAGGAAGCAGTCATAGCAATAGATATATAACAGAAGGCTAAAAACCCAAATTGTGTCATTCTAATTTCCTACAGTATTATATGTAATTTAGAAAGTTCCAAATCAACTCGCCCACCTTGAAATGATCTCACATGTGTTATAATAATAAAGAGGTGAACAAATGTTTGCAGTATGCCCTCCTGCTATAAATCTGTAATTTAGAAACCAAAAGATCTTTAGCATTTGTGGATTTAACATTCTCAATTTCAGTTTTCCTTTGGCAATTTTAATAGTGACTTCTCATTTTCTGAATGTTTTGTTTGAATTGAGGGTCCACTGAGATAGTGTGTTAAGAGGAGTCCTTATCCTAAGAGTAGGCTCATCTTACGGACCAATACCTTAATATGTTCTGATCATTTTCTATATGTTGTCAGGAGTATACTGAGTTTTATGATTTGATTTGGTTTGGTTTTAACCTTGACTTTTAGTTTTTAAAACAAAACAACAACAAAACCTTTAAAAGAAAAATAGCCACTAGTATTAGTAACAAAAATGAAGAAGTCTAAGGAAATGAGGATTCTGAGCCAGAAAATAGCCCTATACATTTCTTTACAGGAAATAATTAAGGATACCAAGGGTACCTAAGTATATTTTAGTTATATTTCACTGGGTTGTATGGGGAAATTATCCTCTAGTGGGATTTGTGACTTAAAGGACTCTTCTGCATCATAGAAAATATACTTCACAAGTGTCAAAGTGTACTAAATTTGTGTCTTAGTTACTTTTCTCATTGCTAAGACAAAATAATACCCACCACCCAAAGTTAAAGGAGGAAAGGTTTATTTAGCTCACAGTTTGTAGAAGTTTTAGTCCATAGTTGGCTGACTCCAAGGCAGGGTGGCATGGCAGAGGAGCATCACAGAGGAGAAGCAGTTCATGTTCATGGTGGGCAGAAGGTAGAAGGCCGCAAGTAACAAGAAACAAGTGACAAGCAGTGACCCTCTTTCTGTCCCTAATATCCTATCCAGGCTACTCACCCTTAGGGCAGGTAGCACTCACACCCAGGGTGGGGGAGCCTTAATCCTAACAGCACACCATGAATCGATCCCAGCATTACATCCTTGATCCCAGCCTCACATCCTTGATCCCAGCCTCACATATCCTAGATCCAGCCACCTCTGAAAAGCCCCGCCTATGACTGCATAAGGCTTTGGGAGGACATCTAGATATAACCCATAGCAATTTGCAAAGTCTCCCTCTGCCACTACAAAAATATTCTTAATTTTATAAATATCGTATAATAAAATTTTCTACTTAGACTATTGAGTAATCACATTCTCTGAAAACACTATTTCATCCTGCTAAAAACAAATGCAAAATCTATAAAGAAATTATTAACTCCATCAAATATTCAATGAATACATAACAATATAACATATATTTCTAATTTGAGGGAGAAAATGAAAGAAAATAGGTACAGAACATCAGTTGCTTATTGTAATGATCACTTTTTTGTCATTGGAACTAAATATCCAATATATCTCTTAAAGGAAGAGAGGTTTAATTTGTTCCATAAGATTTCAGTCTGTGATCAGCTGGCTCCAAGACAGGTACATCATGGCAGAAGGACATGGTAGAGCACAGCTCTTCACTTCGTGGTAGCTGGGAAGCAAAGTGTGGAACAGCACCCAACAGTAATTGTCAGGGGCCAGACATTGTCCCCAGGGTAGTACCATGACTCACCCAGTTGACAATCCTGCTTAACTCACATTTATAGAATATGGTCTTGGGTATTATTGGAGGACATAAGAATATATCTCTTAGATATTCCAACTAAAATTTTACCTCACCCCCAACATATGTAACCTCATCTTTATAACATCTAAACTTATCTTGTTTATGTAGTTACTATCAGTCTTATCCCTGTACCAATTCCAAGGGTAGAGACTCTATCATGTTCACTGACAAATCATCAGCATGTAACAATACCTTGCACTTACAAAGTATTCAATTATTTATTAATGAACAAGAAAGACAAGAATCCATAATAATGCTGTGGAAAGATTTCTGGGCAATGATTTGTCAAATTATCTCATGGAATATAAATGGGACCACCTGGGGTTTGCAGAGCACAATCTCTGCAGCCATATACAGTAGCCCTATATCCTGAGCTAAATTTCCCATGAAAAGAATGCAATGTAACCAAAAGAAAAGGAAGGGGCATGTACAATGACTTTCACCTGAGATTTTGGATCACAAACAAGAAGCATCAGTCAGGCTGTGTTACAGCTTCTCTCTAGCTGTCTCCCCAACCTGCCTCCCACCCAAAGCCTCATGCACTCATAGGTGGCACTTTTCCAAACTAGCTGGATCTAGGGTGTATGGTACTTGGATTAAGGGTGTATGGTACTAGATTAGCCCACTGACTGGAATTAGCACAGTTGAGTGTGGCTGAATGGATTTACTGAAGACAAAAGCCCACCCTGGGTATGGTTGGCATCACCCAAAAGCTTTGTAGCCCATTAGGGATAAAAGGGAAAGGAAGGCTCACTGCTCACTGACTTCTGCTTCCCACACCATGAAAAAAGTAACTAGACACTGGGGATGTAGCTCAGGGGTATAGCACTTAAATAGTACCCATGAGGCCCTGGGTTCAATCCCTGGCATTATTTTTTAAGGCATCAATGAGGATTAGACTCCATGTCCACAAAGATGTAAGGAAAGGCTTTTCCCTCCACAGGCTATCTTCAATGAAGATGAGTCAAGCCATTTCTCTGCCTCCACTATCCTCCCCACCTCTCTTTCATTCTCTCTGATTATAGTTGCCACTAGCCTCTCCACCTTACCACTTAAATTTCCCATCTGGGTTAAGTCATAAACCAGAAATAGAAAAATGGAGGCCTGGAAGTCACTTACCCCAATGTCCTTGCAGAAGCAGTGGGGCTGCCACAGTATGACAGCCATGTGGGAGCAGTGACTAGAGTATGTCAATATTAACCCATTACATGCTTATAAAAAAGTTTTCATCAGTCTTGGAAGCCCTCTTTTCCATCGATGGTATTACTGGGGTCAGGGGAATAGGAATAGCAAATGTTTAAATAAACTTATAGATGCCAAGTATTGGTATATCATCTCTTTTGCACCAACTCAGTTCCTTAGTTCCAGGTGTAGCTGATTCAAAAAGGGCTTCATGCAATGCCCCCCACAGGATCACTTCCTCTTGCCCAGAAGTCCTATTTCTGGCTCTCAAGCTCTCATCTTTTCTAATTTCTATGTCTCCTCTCATTACATCAGGGAACTTCTGCCTGCTTGGGAGCCCAGGAGACCCTAGGATGCCATATCCAGAGTGCCCCTGGCTGACACATGCCATAAATACCTGTTGCATTTTGCCTTCTTTTAGGCTCATAAGAATCACGTGAGTGAAGAGATGTGCTTTTTCTACATCTTTTACCCCAATCTGTCAGTGGTTCACATCATCTCTCATCTCCCTTAGAGTTTCAGCCTCAAGAGAAAAGTACTATATCAGAAGCCAAACATCTGGCTTCTTGCTGTTTCTTTCTCTATTTCTTGGTGTGTTTTCCTAACACTCAACAGCTTAAAACAAGAAACATTTATTATTTCAGTTTCTGTATTATTTCAATTTCAGTACTCCAGATGCAACTCACCTGGTGCCTCTAACTTAGAGTCTCTCACAAGGCTATAGGCAAAGGGCTCGGTTGGAGCCTCAGTCAAGAAGACACGTAATTTAAGAATGAGAGTGTGCTTTCAAGTTCACTTATTAGTTCCTGCCATGTGGTCCTCTCCTAGGCAGCTTAAATCAAAGCACCTGGCTTCTTTCACAGTAAGTGAGGGAGAGAGCAGGCCCAAGAAGAAACCATAGTCTCTGTAATCAAGTCTCAGAAGTGACTCCCATGATTTTTGCCATGTTCTGTCCATTAGAATTTAATCTGTAGGTCCAGGCCACCTCTAAAGCACTGGTGGCAAACCTGTGGCACATGTGCCACAGCCAGCTGTTTGTCATCATTGAAAGCTCTGAAAGCCTCGCCAACACTGCTCTAGAGGAAGAGATCACATGGGACATAAATATCAAGACAGAAATCATTTGGAACCTCCTTTGAGGCTGCCTACCGCACTTCAGTGGACTTTCCCCATAATCATCACTGTAATGTTTGCATCCTTACTCAAATGTGAACTGGAGGAAAATTTATCAACCCTTCTGGAATACTGATAGAGCAGCATACCACATAGGGACTGCATGACAGTCTGTCTTACTAGCCATGTGATCTTAGTGGGAAAACACTCAATCTCTTTGAGCCTCAGCAAAATAAGAGTATGTGACATCCTGGGTTATTGGGAGGATTAAATGATACAATAACATAAAAGACAACAGAGTGTTTGCATATAATAAGCACTTAATGAAATGAGCTCTCATTATTTCTACTAGCAGCAGCAAATTGATATTTTTAAATAACCCATGCAAAAAGGACAATTAAAAAGGAAATCAACAAGAATATAAAATAACTCAGTACTATACTATAACCTAATAGAGATTTATAGCTCATCCCACCCAACAGCAGCATGCATTCTTTTTACCTGTCAATTAAACGTATACTAAGAAAAACCATATACTAAAGCCAGAAAAACAAACTTCAACAAATATAAAATAATTAAAATCATACTGACTGTTGTCAACCACAATGAAAGAAAACTGGCAATTGATAGCAGAAACGTAATTGATAGTATGGATT